ATTTGTGCTATTCACATAAAATATTCAAACAAATCCATTCAATGTTACATCAGTGCATAGAAAAAAAATCATTCAGTTTAAGATAGACTGCACTGGTGATGTGGTTATGTGTAATGTCAAAGGAAAATTTCACTGGACAAGTTAAACAGATAAGAAGACTTGACTCAACACTATTGCAGTAGAGGAGAGAGATTGAACTCAACTCCCAGTACACAGGGATTTATAGTCAAAGAGGAAGGGCGAGGGAGTCAGTGGGTGAAAAATTACTGAGAAGAACCTGGTTAAGTATCAGGGGTGGGGGGGATTCGTGATAAATTGATTTAGTAGAATTTTTGCCAAATCTGGGCCTGGCAGGTAGCCAACCCCTAGTTTTTGAGAAGAGGACTCTGAGGAGCCTGACTAAAGTTTGATTAAGGAGGGAGTTCTTGTCAGTAATATTAGAAACAACAGTATTATATGTGGTGACAGGGTTAAGTAAAATGTAATCCTATCAAAACAATAAAGTTATGTTTAATGGAAAAATATACTGCTTCAATTAAAAAAATTTAAATTTAAATTAATAACAATTCAGTTAAATATAAAATTCAGTTCCTTGGTTTCATTAACCACATTTAAAATGCTCAGTAGCCGTGTGTGGTTCATGGCTACTGTATTACACACACACACAGTGGGGTTCTAAACCTTTTTGGAGCGTATTTTTATACATACTATGTACCTACCTTTTATACCAGGAGTCAGCAAACTGCAGCTCGCAAGTCACATGTGGCTCTTTGGGTACGTACATGTGGCTCTAAAGTGAAATTGAAAATGAAAATAAAACTATCATAGTTTCATTTATAAAAATTTTAAAGGATATTATTTGCATAATGGTGATTATGTAAAAATATATTTATGGCTCTCGAATAATTTTTAAATTGTTGTGAGGGACACGATTGACTCTTCCAGGGGTTGGCAAACTTTTGAGAGTGGAACGTACCCAAAGAACCGAATGTGGCTCGCGAGCCGCAGTTTGCTGACCCCCGTTCTATACCTATGGTATTATATTGTATGTACAGTTGATCCTTGAACAACTCTGGTTAGGGGTGCTGACCCCCCTGTGCAGTTGAAAATTCACATATAACTTTTGACTCTCCCAAAACTTAACTACTAATAGCCTACTGTTGACTGGAAGCCTTACCAATAACATAAATAGTCAGTTAACACATTTTGCATATTATATACTGTACTCTTACAATAAAGTACGCCAGAGAAAAGAAAATGTTATTAAGAAAATTATAAGGAAAATACATTTACAATACTGTACGTATTTATTGAAAAAAATCTGCATGTAAATGAGCCTTGCAGTTCAAACCCATGTTGTTCAAAGGTCCATTGCATTTTTATTTTACTTGCGCTTTTCACTTACCATATGTTTTAGAGCTTGTTATATGTCAATACATAGAAATCTGCCTCTTTCATTTTAATGCTGCCTAGTATAGACCAAAGTATTGTAAAAAATAATATAATGGAGCCACTTCAAAATGGAGTCAGAGCTGCCATTCCAGAGGAACTGCCTTGCACGTGTTATTCCTCAAACTTTTGGAATGTTAAAACTGGGCAAAATAACCTTTGGACTGCACCTAAAGCAACATTGTGTCCCAAAGAACTGTTTGCAAAGATAACAAGAAAGTGGGTTTCTGTCTGAATCACTGCTTCCTGAATAGGTTGTTATTTTGGATCTCAAATAAAAACTTGTTGCCTCTCACTTTGGTTGTTATTTATTTTTAGTTTAACAGTTTTAGAAAGTTTCATGCATGTAAAATAATATTGGATACTCCCAGATCGACATCCAAAGGGGCATTTTACACTCCCTTCAACAGTACAGAAGAATGCTCTTTGCTCTGCACCCTTATTCAACTCTTGACATTTTCAATCTTTAAGAATTTTGCCGGGACAGCCGAATGGCTCAGTTGGTTAAGAGCTTGCTCAAGAGTGTGAGCTCTAAGCAACAGGGTTGCCGGTTCGATTCCCACATGGGCCAGTGACCCTGCGCACGAGCTGAGCTGCAGCTGAGCTGCCAACAGGTGGCAGGATGGCTCAACTGGTGAGAGAACATACTCCTAACAACAAGGTTGCCTGTTGGAGATGGTAGGCTATGCCCACCCACAACTAAAGACTGAACTTGGCATCTTGAGCTGTGCTACCGCCCGGGTGGCTCATGGGATAGAGCTCACACTCTTCACAACGAAGCAGCCATTTGGGATGGTGGCTATGTCCATCCGCAGCTAATTGAACATAGCACCTTGAGCTGAGCAGCACGACTGGACTTGGAGCTGAGGCTTGCTGCGCCCTCCACAACTAAGAGTGAAGGACAACAACTTAGCTGTTCCCCTTCCCCAATTCCCTAACACTGTTCCCCTCCCCAATCCCTAATAAAATCTTAAAAAATAATAATAATTTGCCAGTCTTATAGATGAAAATCATTTTTAGTATACATTTCCATGATAATTAGTGAGATTGAATGATTTTTTAATATCTTTATTAATATTTCATTTCTTAACACAATAACTGTATTTCTTCCAAAACAGCAAAATGTTACTTGCAGACAGTATATATATATATATATCCTGTGTTCTTGCTTTTCTTTGAGTACCTGTGGTTAGGTTGCTGGGGTGGGTCAATTTTCAATTTGCATCTCTATGGATAAGAATTATTTGCATTATTATTTTCTACAATTTACTGAGCAATAAAACTGCCCAAAGACAATGGAAAGTTAGGACTACTAGCAATCAGAAAACCTAGTAGGGTATACCAGAGAACACCTAGAATTCCATAGAACACCCAGTAAGCAACCTTTCACTTTTTTTCCTGACCAGATACACATTTAAAGCTTCTAGCACATTGACTCATAGTAAGAACTTAGTAAGTTTAATTTGTTTCTCTTCCATGAAAAAAATGAAAAACAAAGTAATTGAAAATTTATGGCATTTCTGTAGAACTACAGCTTCCTGAATAGGAGCTATCAAGACTGACTTCTGTTTTCCTTGGGCCTTCTATAGTGCTTGGGAGCATTTACAGTGGGTGTTCAGTAACTGGCTGAATGGAACTGTGACCTGAGAGGGGGTACTTACACTGGGGATAGAATCCTGGCCTCCTGGGTGAGAGGCGGGAATCCTAGCCACTACATTACTGGGGGTTGGGCCCTCTTTGGTGTGATGTCCAGGTTCTTGGTGTCTCAAGCAAAGAATTGAAGGAGACACAAAGGTAAAGTGGTGAAAGAGAAGTTTATTAGAAGAGGTAGTACACTCCAAAGAAGCAGGAGTGGGCCCTGGAGCATAAAGAAAAGTGGCTCTAGGGCCTTTTGTCAGCAGGAGTCTGGCAGTTTTATTCTTTATCTCTGGAGTGGGCTGTACCCCTCGGGTACAGGACCACTTGATTGACACCTGTGATTGATAAGGGGCTATTACCTCATCCTCTTAGACTGCTCATGTCCCTTCCCGGAGTTTAGTCTGTTACAATATTAATGAACTACCCGGCATATGTATATTACAGTGATGGTATAATGAGGCTAGGGTGAGATGGAGGTCGTTGTAGCCTCTACTGCGCAGGACTGGTCTAATTTATTGTCTTTTAGTGTCCTCACAGTGGTTAATGGTTAGGGCAGATGAGGGAAAAATTTGGGAGGTCTCCAGGCAGTGCTCTCTGTAGATTGTGTTGGACGTGCAGGAATGCAGAGACCCCATTTCTATCTTTAACTGCCTGCCTTATTTCTCCTGAGAGACGTGATCCCCATAAATCTCTGTGGGGAGTTGAGGGACAGGAGGCCTCTTCTTCTGTATCTGCTTCCTGCTGGGAAGCGGGGTAGAGCTGTTCCTACCTACTGGGGATTCACGAAACTCTCACCCTATCTGATCTTAAATAAAAAGAGGGGGTCACATATCTGTCTTGGTCGGGGTGCACTGGAAGCCTTGCTGGAACATAATCCATATCCCCGACAGCCCCTAGATGAGGAGAGACAGATGTTAGTTAATAAATTAAAAATGCTGGCCCCAGGGATGGGACTCAAAAGTCCATTTATCTTAATTTCAGGTGAGTTTGTTCACCCAGGGGTTAGGTCTGGACTGGCCTGGAGGAGTGTTAAAACCCATTTAGCCTCTAGGATGGCGTTTATTTATCCACAAGTTAGGTTTGGAATGGCCTGGGGGAATGTTGGGCTACAATGATTATAGTTCACAGGCTTTTAAGTGTTTATTTGAAAGGGGGAGGGGGGGGCGGTGAGAGACATTCTGTGATTTAGGCTAGGGGCAATCTTTAGTAGTTTAGGATTAAGAAACTGACTTGAAGAGTGATTAAGATCAGGGGCTAGGAAAAGGGGAGACTTAAAATTCCTATAGTGAGGGAGGCTTAAAACTTCTATAGTGAGGGGGTGCTCCTGTATCAGAACTGTGTTCAAGTATGTTCTAATTCATTCTCCTATCTGGAGAAATGTGTATATCAGGAAAAAAATAGGCTTATTTTACTTACATTGTTATCATATTTTCAGACAGGGATTAGATAATATATTCTAATCATGCAAACTGGTGGCCTTGCAAATTGCTAGACTACCTGTTTCCTTTCATAGTCCAAATTGTGTGAGTATAACTAAATAAAATCCCACTCTGTAATAATAGCAAATGCGATTTTGTTTTGTGCAGTCCTAAAGCATGATTATGCTGTTCTAGCTGTGAATAGTGATTTTTACACATGATAAAGCAGCCTAGCATATTCACATACGTTATAGCTAGAATATCCATTGCTATAAAGACATCATTTTTATCAGCCTTTAAGATACAGTGTTCAACAAAAATTTCTTCTTCAGTAACTGAAAAAATATTCAGTGGCTACAGTAGACTGTAAAATGAAGGAGGGGCTTAGCTGTGGAGTCTGAGCCTGGGTGTAACCTAACTAGCTAGAGGATATGCAATTCCTGATTGACAGCAGGACCAGCATTATGCAGATTTTGTAAGAGAGAACAGCTCAGAAACAGTGAGTAGGGGCTCAGTTTGGAATCACCACATTCAGCACTCATATCTTTAGTTTTCATTTTTCTGTCGACTGGATTTGTAAACAAATAGCACCAAAACAGTTCCTCTTTTGTTGTTATTAAAGTGATACTGCAGTGCAGTTTCAATCTATCAGCTAGGCATACTTGTGTGGAAATTCGATATTCTTATCAAATTAGCTAATTTTTAGCTGTGTTCCATGCTTATCTCTAGACCTTTGTGTATTAGATTCTATCTTGAGATTTTCTCTTTATACACAAGTGTGTTTTGCTTGTGCCTTCCTGTCTTCTTCAGAGAGAAGCGTTATGTAGGTCAGGCTTGGTTTAAGCAGATTTCCTGAACCTGCGTCAGCTTAAGCTGGAGGAATTTTAATAAACCCTCCCCTGTAGGCGTGGGCCTAAATGAGGCTAGCCTAGTTAAGCCTGATCTTTCTCTGTTTGTGAAAAGAGCTGAGCAGAGCTGAAGGCTGCATGGTGGTTTCAGAAACTGCCTACTTAATTTGAAAAGAACAATGGTAGGAAAGGCTAGATCTTCCAATTTTACCTTATCTGAAAAGCTTGATTTGCTAAAGCTTGTGAAGCCATATGTGAAAATTCTCGAAGAACACACTAATAAACATTCAGTAATAGTGGAAAAGAATAGATGTTGGGATATCATAGCAGTTAATTATAATGCAATTGGAGTAGACCGCCCTCCTCGAACAGCGCAGGGCCTACGCACCCTTTACAAAAGGCTCAAAGAATATGCCAAACAAGAGCTATTGCAGCAAAAAGAGACCCAGTCAGATTTAAAAAGCAATATTTCTGAGCCAACCAAGAAAGTTATGGAGATGATTCCCCAGATTTCCAGTTTTTGCCTGGTAAGAGACAGGAACCACATACAAAGGTAAGCTTTATTTTATTTTGTTGTGGAAAATTATGGCACCTCCTATCTATTGGGCTCTGGCTTAGTTGTGATAGAGATATGCATAGTAAGCATCCCCACGATGGGAGCAGTGAATGCTGTCTTTGTTTTGCATTCTTAAAAAAGAAAAGTGAGGCTATAAGGAATTTTTCTGCTGCGTTTCATTTAAGCCACTTTTTGTTTTCCCTTCCCCCTTCTCTCCCTATGTAGTTTCTAAAAAGTAAAGGTTAGGGTGGAAAAAATGGAATGAAATTTGTGAGATTGCCTCATAAAGTTTTTAAACTTTAAAATTAATTAGCTGAGAGATACTTTTTCTTATTTTATTTAAGATTATATTGTAATTTTCAATTTTATATAAACTTAGTTTCAAGAGAAATGGAATCTTTGCTTTGTTATGAAATTGTCAGTCTATACTTATTGAATATTCATTGAGCTAAAATACTAAAATCAATAATTAAGTAAACTTATTAATAGTATTGTATACATTAAGACAGTTTAAATTATTTTTCTAACATTTAAAATAAAAAGGACATAAGGAAAGGAGTTAATGCCTAGTTAGGGATTTATATTAATAAAATTCAAAGTTGTGTTTTTATTTATTAATGGTCTAGTTTCATTTTGTTCTTGGGTCGTTCTAGGAAAGGATAAGCTTTCTCATACCCTTTTGCAAGATATCAAACTATGAATTTTAATATACCAATAAGAGCAACTGGGTTCTTAAAGGGTTAGAAGCAGCCTTTTTGATTAAATTTATGCTCTACATAACTACTTGCCTGGGAATCTTCAAAACTATTATCTAACTAATTCAAATTTTAACCCCTGGCAAAAGATAAAAATGGCAACTATATTCTTTTGAACCACTTAGGGTAATTTAAACAAATTGTAAACTTCTTGTTGATTGAGAGACCTTTCAAACAAAGCTTTACAATGTGTTTTCCTATTGGTGGAAGAAGAATCATTATATATGCAAAATTATTGATTACCTGTGAAATCTTTTTGAAGTTAGGACAGAAACAGAGGAATAAAACTTTTTAGCAAAACATATTTGTTATTTTGATAATTTACTAGGATAATTTTTTGAGGCCAGCTTCTTTCTATATACTGCTTATTTCTAGTTGATAGCATAGTAAAAAAAAATAGCACCGATGGGAATCTGGGACATGGATATACAGTGTATTAAGTCATGGGGTCACTGCTTAAAATGTTCACTGTGATGACAGATGATTAAATCCTAATATGCTGGATGTCCAAAAAACTCCACAGTAAGACTTTTATGCTGTGCTACTTATTAAAAACATTTCCCCCTCAAACCAGAGAGAAAAATGTCTTTTGCATTACAGGTATAAAACTATCTTTTGGGTATTAAGTATAGGCTTTTATGATTTGAAAACCACATATAGAAACTAGTTTTAGTTAGTTGCATATTTTAAAAATACAGTGAGTATAGAAAAGAAATCACATACAAGTGTCTGTTTATATTTTGACCGTGTGTGTGTATATGGACCTATGTGTCACATATACTTGCTAATGTGAAGAGCAAAATAGTTTTCTAAGAATGAAGAAGTGCATATATCCATTCTGTATTTAACATGTAGCAGAATTATCTTTCACACACCCATATGCACACAATTAATCTTTTGAGACAACATTTCTGAGTTAATTGATTTACACATTTTTATACCTACTGTTTAAACAATAACAATTTTTCATTTTTTCAAGGGAAGTCTATTAGAAATAAACCCTTTGAATGCTTATGTTAGTGTCTATACTGCAATTTTCTCTATATATTAGCATTTCTATTTAATATATTTATATATTTAATGTGCTCATACTTATTTGATTGACATAGTCTTGAATCTTAATAATTATCTCAGAAGTTCATAATTATTCTATATTCTTAATTATGCTTCTATATAAATATGCCTGTTAATCTCACTAAATTCTCCATTCTTATTAAGAAAAGTTATACTGCTTTCTTATTTAACATTTAAAAATACATACCTAATTTGTAAGGCTATCTTGGTTTATGTTTTTATTTTCTCTCTAATATCAAATTATATTTTGTGTTTTTTGTAAACTGTCTGATCCTCAAAATTCATATTTATAAATTTTAGAAGTCATGTTTATCAATTTTTGTTACTTTCTCTAAAACATTTTTTACATAATGACCTTACTTGTAATGTTTCTACTAAAATGGAATGGAATATTCAAGATATAAGGCATATTTTTAATTTATATGGGAGTAAAATGTCTTTGTCTAATTATATTATACTCTGTTATACATATTAATTTGGAATAGTAATTAGATTTTTAAAAACTTAATTTTCATCTGTAGTTTTAATCTCTTCCCATTCAAGGTTTTAGAGATGTTAATAAAAGCAAACTTACTAACTTGAATTACATTTATATTCTGTTGTTTTGGTTTTGAAAACCATAACATGACAAAAAAAGACAAGAATGAAAATGAATGAATTTCTGTAATCTACAAATAGATTTTTCATAACATACTATATAATTATTTTATTGGTATGCCTTAGACAAATATCTGACATTTTTGGCAGTTTAATACCATTAGTAAGTGACATATGGGGAGTTTTAATTTTTTTCCTTATGCTTTACTTGAACTGGTTCCAACATTTTAATCATCCATGTAGAATACATTCTTAACTATGTTACTTATTTATCATTTGTAAAATGTTCTCTAAATAATGTTAAGTATAGCATTTTCCCATTAATGTTCCCATAATTCCTTTCCTCTCTATAACTTTTATTTTTAAGTTAGACATAAGTAAACATGTTTAAAAACCCACAAGAAACAAAATTATATAATCTTAATGGCTTCATGTTATACATGAAATTATTTTTAAAAAAACAGAATTTTAAGGTACATTGTATTTATGTCTTAAATATTATTTCAAAGTTTGTTTAAATTTTAAAAGCCTTTTTATTTCCTTCACTATTACTGTTTTACAGTACAACTATCACCTTGTGAATACACACAAAAACCCTATGGAAGATAATTCTGTTATACATAAAATACTGAATGGATATATATACTTCTTCATTCTTAGAAAACTATTTTGTTCTTCACATTGGCAAGTATAAAATAGAATACTTCCCCAAACATACTTATGTTAGGAGTAAATTACATGTAGTTTCTGCACAAATTATATACATACACACACACACACACACACACACATATATATATATATAAATTCCCCCCCATACATATATATCCCCCCCCCCCGCTGAGCCATTCTGCCACCTGTTGACAGCTCAGCGACAGCTCAGTGACAGCTCAGCTTGGGCGCAGTGCCACTGGCCTATGTGGGAATCGAACCAGCGTCCCTGCCGCTCAGAGCTTGCACTCCCAAGCCAACTCCCAACCAACTGAGCCACTGGGCTAGCTCTTGCACAAATATATTTTTAAAATATGGAACACTTCACAAGTTTTCGTGTCATCTTTGCAGAGGGACCGTGCTAATCTCTGTATCCTTTCAGTTTTAGTATTATTGCTGCTGAAGATCACTGTAAAAGTTTAAATTATGTTAAAACTGTAGATGTTTCTAATAGGAGTGTATATTTTATGGAAATTACATATAAATTTAATTAAGTTTCACTATATTGTATATAGGCCATTAAAAAACATTGCAAGGGCCGGCCGAGTGGCTCAGTTGGTTAAGAGCTCGCTCAAGAGTTTGAGCTCTGAGCAACAGCGGTTCGAGACCAGCCCGAGCTGAGCAGCCGCTGAGCTGCCAACAGGTAGCAGGATGGCTCAGCTAAAAAAAAAAACAAAAAACAAAAAAAAACATTGCATTAAAAAACCATTTCATTCAATCAATCAACATGACTAACACCTACTAGGTTCCAAATATTGTCTTATACTAGGTGTTGGAGATACAGTGGTGGATATAAACCCTTAGCCTGTGAACTACCTGACCAATGGTTGAAAGACTGAAAGAGCAACTAACTGAGTCATGTGGTTTAGGATAGTTAAAACTAAACACCATTGCATCTGAAATTGGATAGTTAGGATAAGGGCATACTGAAAGCCTTATAAAACCTTGATTTTTTTTTTTTTTTACAAATATAGAAATTATTATTTCTCATAGATGGCCTCCCATTGTCCTCCTAGAAATCTTGGACCTTGGTGATTTTTAGATCAGTCCAGGAGAGCAGAAACAGATCAAGGGCTAAGGTATGGGGATAGCAAGGCCCAGAATGCATTGAATGGTCTTCTATACCATTAAAGAATGTCATGCTTGTAGGAACAATTGATGAGTCTTTGAGAGCATTAAAAATGGCTTTTCTTTTTTATTTACCTCATTGACCTTGTATAGTATTTGTAATTTCCTGTTCTCTAAAAGCCTGATTTTAAAGTTAAGGATGGGAGAGAGCTATATGTATATATTATTAAAATCCTAAACTTAAGTAACTTTTAATTTGTTATTCCAAGAGTTAAAAATTTTTTTGTTTCATAATTTTCTTTTTAGCTTGATAATTTAATGTAATTAAACATGAAATTATGATATACATATACTCTTAACTTCATTTGATTTATATTTTATAATGCTTTTTTGTGTGCTGTAGTGCAAACTTGGATGAGGAAGCACAGGCTGGTGCCAGTTCACTACAGGTAATGTTGGATCACCATCCAGTTGCTATTACAGTAGAGGTGAAGCAAGAAGAAGACATTAAGCCCCCTGCTCCACTGGTTTTAAGTTCTCAACAGAGTTATACTTTAGAGCAAAGAGAAGAACATGAATTAGTACATGTTATGGAAAGATCTGTGTCGCCATCACTTTCCTCTGTTGATATGCGAATGACATCGTCTCCATCTTCTATTCCAAGGAGAGATGATTTTTTTCATTATGAGAGTGAAGGACACTTTAGGTCACGATTAGGGTATGATCCTCAGATTCTGCAAATGCTGAAAGAGGAACATCAAATAATTTTAGAAAATCAAAAAAATTTTGGATTATATGTTCAGGAGAAGAGGGATGGATTGAAAAGAAGGCAGAAGCTAGAAGAAGAGCTGCTAAGAGCAAAAATTGAAGTGGAGAAACTGAAAGCAGTTCGCTTACGGCATGATCTGCCTGAAAGTAACAGTCTCTAAGATTTTTTTTCAATCTTGCAATTTGGTAATTTTAATTTTGGCCAAATTACTTTCATTTGAGAATATCCTAAAGTGGAATACATATTCTTAAAACTTGTTAATCTCTATTATGAAAAAAGTCTTTCTTGACATTATTTTCTAATTTTTAAATTTTCTTTTGTGATACATTAAAACTTATTGATTGGCTGGCATGGTTATATTTTTTTGGTCTTCCCTTAATTTTTTTCTAAGAAGTTTAATTATAGGCCTTACAAAAGATGATTTATTTTGATTATTAAAATATAACATACATAAATATATATACAAACATATATATTGTTTCAAAGCTCTGAGTCTTTAACATTCTAAATTAGAGCTTTGAAAGCTGTAGTTCAAGGTTTTTAAGTCAGTCTAATTTAGGAGGGATACTACTAAGAGAAGCTTGTCTCTATGACATTGATTTTTATGCTTTCATTTTTTGAAGGAGTAAGTCCTAAAATTTTAGAGATGGAAGGTATTTGGAGATCATTTTTTTCCCACCTCTTCAATTTAGAAGGTAATGATACTGATGTCCAGAGAGAACTCAATGGCTTACTTGATGTAACAAAGCTATTTATGGCAGAACAAGGACCAGCACTGAGTTTTTGTTTCTCTGTTATTTTTCCCTCAGCTATTCTGTACAAGTAAAAAATCCACTAAAGTCTTCCATATTAAAAAATTGGCAGTATTTACTTTATTAAAATTGTTTTTAAAGATTGGGAGGTTATGAAATCAGGGGAATTGTATCAGTTACCCTCATCCTCCCACTCTTTTTTTGTCCAGCAAAATAAGATACTCATTTTGGAGCTATTACCGTATTTTGCCATGTATAATGCACACTTTTTTTTGCCCAAGTTTGTGAGGGAAAATAAGGATGTGCATTATACATGGGTAGTACTAATTCCATATCTATATAAATGTTTTTAATTCATTTATTTATGCTTATGAGTTAAAAGTGTAACTCTAGAAATCAATAACAATATTCATATACAAAATAATAACCTGGAATATGATGATCGGTTTTGTTGAACTTATGACGAGCTTACAATGACGAAGAGTTCTTGTCACTCTATGATGTGTAAATATCATAAATTTGTTACCAGTACATAAAATTTCTTGTACCTTGTATCTGTTCTTGTGTTTTGTAATTATTTGTTACATAAAATTTCTTGTACCATAATATGTTAAAAAATAAATGCTAAAATTCCTTTATAATACAAAAAACAAGTACCTATATGTAAACAAATAAAAATTTGAATTAAAAAAATTAAAACGAAAGATTTTTTTCCCTGAAATTGTGGGCCAAAAATGTGAGTGTGCGTTATACATGGGAACATATTATACACGGGAACACATTATACATGGCAAAATACGGTATATATTTTGGCTATAAGATTTAATGTCTTAATTCATTTTTAATGTCTTATTCTGAAAAAGATTTCTTTTGCAGTAAAAGTTTTTTTTTTTAAGATTTTGGAGAATCGGGGGAGGGGAACAGACAAGTTGCTGTTCTTTTTGTTCTTCAGTCTAGTTGTGGAGGACGTCGCTTCACTGGCCCATGTTGGTATTATCATTGCGCTCTTCCCTGGTGAGGCAGATCAGTTGCCGGCCACTGGACGGCCGCTCACGGCGGCTCTTGGCAGCTCACACCAGCTGCTGGCT